AAGCGTTGCTGTCCAGCGGGCCAGATCCTGGCCGCCCCCTCCGCTTGGCCAGCCTGGTGCCAGTCCTGGCACAGGGCTTTTCCCCATGGCTTGCCAAGCCATGCCAGTGGCACTGGAGACCGGGGCTGCAAGGGTGAAACCTCGCTGTGCCAGGACATGGATGCTCAGGTGGAGGGCTCTCTCCACGCCAGGTGAAAGAGCCTGATGTATGCGGGGCACTCGGAGATGTGGTGACTGGGTGGCACGGCAGGTCACATCATGCTGTAGGGTGGCTTATGGCTCATGTCCATCCGTGGTGCATGTCCATCCGTGGCAGCCCTCGGTGTGGTTTCCTTCCAGGGGGTGATTGCCGACTTGAAGCTGCAAGGGGACCCGCGGGCGGCTGAGCGCCAGTGTGAGGAAGAAGAGGACGACACTGAGGTGAGCACTGGCAGCCCAGCCAGGGCAGGCTGGGGGGCTGCCGCCCTGTGCTCCCAGCTGAACCCTCGCCCCTTCTCCCTGGGCAAACGCAGGTCTCTGGTGATTTTGGCAGCGGGGCAGAAGGTGGACGCCAAGCCTCGGGGAAAGACAGAGTGAGTTGGTGCCTGTGGGTGTTACACTCAGTGGCAGGATCCCAAGATTTTAGGGACGAGGAGGGCTGGGTGCCCTCCATGGTCAAGGTCCCGGGATGCCTGATGGGGTCCCGGCGCCTGTCCCTTTTGAGAGGGCACCAGGAGGTGAACGGTGCTGCATTGTCCCCTTATTGGCACAGGGTGTCCCAGGGCTGGTGGATGCCGTCCCTGTCACCTCTCCCCCTGTGGCAGCGGGCAGTGGGCCAAGGAGCGGTGGAGGCTCCCCACAGCAAGCTGAGAGGACCAGAGCAGAGGGGACACTGCGGGTCTCTGCGGGAGGTAATGCCGACAGCAGCATCCCCTTCCCCACCATGCTGGCCAGCCCCGGGGCACACTGGTGGGGACATGGTGGGGTGGCCGTCCCCAAGCACGACCGAGTTCCTTTTCCCTTCCTGCAGGCACTGGCCCCAAAGGTGAAAAGGGGGAGAAGGGCGAGCGTGGCCTGAAGGGGGACTCTGGGACCGGCAGCATCATGGGGACGGGCAGTGTCAAGGGTGAAAAGGTGGGTGAGAGAGGGGATCCCAGGGGCTCGAGGATGCCACTGACATGTCCATGTTTGACACCTGCTCCTCTTTGTTTCTATCCTGCAGGGGGAGAAAGGAGAACTGGGTGTTAAGGTGAGCATCGCAGGGGGAGCCAGGGCAAAGCCATGCCGGCCTGGGCTGCCACCCCTGGGGTCGTGCCACCCATCCTCTTTTCCCTCCGCTCCCCAGGGCAGCGCTGGATTTGGCTACCCTGGCTCCAAGGGCCAGAAAGGGGAGCCGGGTGACCCCGGCACCCCCGGGACCCTCTCGCGGCACACTAACGGCTTGATGGTGGAGCAGGTCACCGGTCCTCCAGGGCCGCCGGGGTGCCTGCTTGCCTGCCTGCCTGCACACAGACCTCTCCCCTCTCTGCCATCCCTAGGGCGATCCCGGCGAGGATGGCAAACCCGTAAGTGGGGTGGGGGGGGTTGGCGGGGCAATGGGTGCTGGCCACTCCCCTTGTCTTGCTGCCCACTGACCCCCCACTGCTCCCCTTCACAGGGCGATATGGGACCGCAGGGGTTCCCTGGGATGCCAGGGGAGCCTGGTCTGAAGGGGGAGAAGGTGAGTGCCAGTGCTGGTGTGGGGAGATGGCACATGCCGCTGCCCTCCCTTCCTCTCACCAGCAGCTGGGCTATGCTCGCAAACCGCACTCTCTCCTCTGTGCCAGGGTGACCCAGGCATGGGGCCAAGGGGACCGCCTGGACCACCCGGTCCCCCAGGACTGCCAGGACCCTCCTCCAAGCACGACAAGCTGGTGGGTGCCCCCTGGGACATGGAATTGGGGGCGCATAGAGGAGCGAGATGCTGCCATCAGCCCCTGGGCAGCATCGCCGCGCCACCGAGCACCCCAACCCTGGCCGTCAGTGCCTGACATCACCCTTCTGCTTCTCCCCAGACCTTCATCGACATGGAGGGCTCTGGCTTTGGCGGCGACCTGGAGAGCCTGCGGGTGAGTGTGGGTCACCTTCTGCTGGCAGGCTGTGGGGGGACACACTCAGCCATCCTCCCCTCCTTCTCTTGTAGGGTCCACGAGGGCCACCTGGTCCCCCAGGGCCACCCGGCGTGCCTGGTTTGCCAGGGGAGCCAGGACGGTTTGGGATGAACCTCACGGACCTGCTGGGACCACCAGGGCTGCCAGGCAGGGATGGGACCCCCGGGCCCCCGGGGCCAGCGGTAGGTGCATGGGGCGGCCAAGGGGACCCATCCCAGGGCCCCCCTGCAGCCATGGGGCCATAACTGCCCCTTGTGGCAGTGGGGGGCTCTGTGCCCACCAGCCCCACGGGGTTTTCCTGCGCTGGAGCCAGCTCCTGGGCATCTTGCAGGGTCCTCAGGGTCCTCCTGGAAGAGACGGGGCGGCTGGGCAGATGGGACCCAAAGGAGAGCAGGTGAGTGTCCCATGTCCCCTGGAAGCATGTCACAATTCCCCTGTGGGGCAGTTGGCACCCCAGGCAGGGCCACAGCAGCTGCCGCTCGGTCCGCTGGCACATCTTGGGGAGGTCCCAGCTCCCTCCATCTCTGGACTGGAGAGCAGCAACCTGCTCCTGGAGCAAGGCAGCTTCTTCACACTCTCTTCTTCCTTCTCCTCCCCAGGGCGATGTGGGTGACCTCGGCCTCCCTGGTGCACCGGGACCCAAGGTACTGTGCCTGGGGCAGGTTTCTTGGCAGGGGGTCCCACATGCATTGCAGACTGGAGGCAGGGATGCTGCTTTGGGGGCCACCTCATGCCGGAGTGGGGAGGGGGATGCTGGTATTTGGGTTCCTCCTGGAGCAGAGTAGGGCCACGGCTCAAGGGTGTGTGGAGCCACCAATCACCCCCGGAATGCTCGCCAGGCTCCTACCACCCTCACTTGGCTTTGGTCCAGGCACTGCTGCCTTGAGAAGTGGGCAGGCAAGCCAAACAGTGTTTCAAGGCACAGAAGAGGGTTTGCTTGGGGGGGTTTGGGTGCCAACACCCCATCTTCTGCGCATCGCTCTCCTGCCTGCCTGCATGAGCTTCTTTCCACCCCGCGTCCCCGAGGGTGGAGGTAAAGGCTTGCTGGGACGCACACGATCGCCCCCCCCCTCCCTGGGGGTCCAGGATGCCCTTGGGATGACCCATCCACCACAGCCTGAGCTGGGGGCAAGACCCTCAAGAGTTAAGGTTTCTTAATGCTGCCGACATCGAGAGGGCAGATGGGGTGGCAGTGGGCATAAGGACTGATCCTGCTGCTCCAAGACCCATGGCAAAGATCAAGGGTGCCTGTGAGTATCCCCCCTCAGTGCTTGAGCTCTGCCAGTGCATTGGAGCCAGCAGTGCATGCAAAAAATATCACATTTATGATTTTAGACGAGCCTCTGGTGGCCATCGTGCACATCGCACGGGGAGCCAGGGCCATGCGAGGACAGCCAGGACGAGGGATGCCATTGCTGGGCGATGTCCCGTCCTGCAAAGACCCTCTGCCCCGGAGACAGGGGAGCATCTGTGCCCTGTCCCAAGGGGTGGTCTGGGGATGCGGGAGGGGATGCACTGCCTCCCACTTGCAGCCTCCAGACATGGACTGTTGCCACCTGTCCCATCTGTCCCCTTTTTTTTCTTGTCCCCTTTGCAGGGCAGCAAGGGAGAAACGGGACCAGCAGGAGCCCCGGGAGAAATGGGGTTAGCTGGCCTTCCCGGGCCCATTGGACCCCGAGGACAGCCGGGGCCCCCCGGTCCCCCGGGACCACCAGGGCCAGTCTATGAGGCTGGATTTGTAAGTGATCACCCCTGTGATGGGAGGGTGGGATGAGCTGGAGCAGGGGGCAGATCTGGCTCAGCCCCTTCTCCCCCTGCCTAGGGCGACATGGAGGGCTCGGGGCTGCCGTTCGCTGCCAGCTCCCCCGGACCACCCGGACCTGAAGGACCACAGGTAGCTCCATTCTTGCCCCTTCCCTCCTTCCATCCTGGGCTCCCCGGGGCATTCCCCACCATCGTGTTCCCTGCCATCACCCCACGCTCATGGTCCCCTTCTTGTTGCTTGCAGGGGGTGCCGGGACTGCCAGGGGTGAAGGTGAGGAACCCTTCAAACACCTTCCTTGCCCTTCAAACACCTTCCTTGCCCTTTGCCAGAGGCAGCTGCAGGAGCCTGGCTCCACCCATGCAGGATGCCCACAGGCAGCCTGTGGGGATGCTCCTGCTGTCACACCTCTTTCATTGCAGGGGGAGGTCGGCAGCCCTGGGCAGCCCGGCTTGCCAGGACCGAAGGTAGGAGTGCCAGGAGGTCAGGGCGGGCTGTGTGTGAGCCTGTGGGGTTGGGGTGCTGAGGAGGACCCCTGTGCTCCCCAACCTGGGGCTATTGGGAGGATGCTCTATACTGCATCTTGCCCTTTCCCACGTCTTGTTGCAGGGAGATGCTGGCGTGCCCGGCGTGGATGGCCGCCCTGGACTGGAGGGCTTCCCTGGACCGCAGGTAGGAGCATCAGCTCCCCCTTTCCAGAAGCCGCCCCTTGCTCCAGGCAGGGTACCCTTGCACACTGCAGGGCCACTTGCAGCAGCCCCATCCCCAGCAGCCAAAATTCAACCCCAGCAACCAAAATCTGCCCCCAGCAGCCAAAATCCACCCCCCCTTGCCTTCAGCTGTTCCCCTGCTCTGGGTCCGTGCTCACTGTGTGCCAGGGGTGCCCATGCTGCTTGGGACCTCATACTCATCAGCTTGCCACCCTGCCATCACCTCCACCCAAAAGCATCCCACCCTGGCTTGCTGCCTGGACCTTGCAGGTGGTGGGGGTTGGCCTGAAAGGTTTTGCTGAGCCACAGGCAGGAGGGGGGTCTCTGCCTGTGAGCCAGGGTCCAGCTGCCTGTGGCGCCAAGCAGGAAGCTCACCCCTGCCTGCTTCTCCTTCCAGGGACCCAAAGGTGACAGAGGCAGCCCCGGTGAGAAGGTAGGTGCCACCGGGCTCGGGACGGGGACTGGCCAGCGGTGGCCCTGGGGCTGACGGCTTGTGTGTTTCCGGGGGGGGGG